TTTAATTTGTTGCTACATTTTTTTAATACTGATATTATTTGATCCCATTCCTGATGGAAAACGAGAAAATTTATCTAATTCCTACTAGTTACTTTTAATACTTTTTAAAGTATAAATGTTAAGTCTAGGCATAGTTTTATGAATATTATACTAATAAACATGTGCTAGAGTATGAAATCTCTGTCTCAATTATAAAACAAAATATTATTTTTTGTAAAACACTGATAAAACTTTTAAACTACTGAAGATATAGCCTTGAAATTTTTCCTATATATATAAAATAATTGGAGTTAATATTTAAATCAATGCTAAATCGATAGTTTGGTCTGTTTTTGGTACCGTGGCCCATTAAAGAAAACTTACGTATACAGTGTGTCCATAAAGTCCCTGAACAAATTTAATAGTTTTTTGTTTGGGAATGGAACAACTTATATCTTTGGTACTGGTCAAATATTCATAAGCAAGATTCAAAGTTTTTGTGACAAGTGACACAAATTATATAACCTCGATATGTGCAGCACTGGATTTTCTAGCTGACGTTACTCTAACTATTGGCAATTACACTTAATCAATGCATCGAGGTAATCTCCTGCTGTTATTGTTTGTTCGTGGAAGAAAAATAATCCAAAATCTTGTCATGAAGCTTCCCATCCCAAACATTTACTTTCGAGCTTTCTCGCTTCAACTCCCATGAGACTTGCATTCCAAAATCCTCACATTATGCGTATATGAAACCAAAAGAAACCCTTAAAAGAAAAAAATCAATATACGTGCAATAACACCACAAAACTTTACAGCACACTATCTCTTGCAGTGTGTCCACAATAGTAGAGAAATGTTGGTCAGGGGCTCTGTGGACACCCCGTAGAATTCTTTTTTATTTTGCGTATCATACAAACAAATGTATAAATATTTCCGCTTATGAGATTCGTAAGAATATTTTTCACTACATAATCTGATTTTGATTTTATTATGAAAAAAACCGTCGATTACAAATTTTTTATCGACTTTTCTACATTTAAATGTTTTGGACCCGTTTATGACAATTTTCACTTTTTTTCCGTTATGTGTACAAGAAATCAGGCGGTACTTCTCAGTCTTTATCTTAATTTTAAATTGAAGAACTTTATTTAAAATCACCTTCGTAGGAAAACATATTTATACGAACAGGCTTTTTTACTGCTTAGGAATGAAATCACAATCTGCATTGTAGTATAAAAGAGGTAAAGTTATAGTTCACAATAAAATAAGCAAAAGAAAAAGAATAACACCTGTTTGGCCAGTCACATGCTCTGTCATTTTAGTTTCACTAATCAGAAACGTTTCGAGAGTACGATGTTCCGTCTTAATTTACTAAGATATTCCTCGCGATGTGCATTTAAGACTCCTTGCATGCTCACATATATCAAATTCCTTATTTCACATATTTTGACAAAATTTCAATATTGCAATATTTTATTGCTTTCTTAGAATTTTTACATCATTCATAATAATTTATACACATAAAGATTTCCTCTTTATTATAAACATATATACAAGTCTGTGTCGTATTTTTCATTCCGCCATTTTAGCGTACGTTATGAAAAGCTTCCTGCATGGTTAAAAGACAATGAAATCTCCAGGTATTTGTAAATGTGGATTAAACCGCTGAATATTAGTAGTTCAGTCTAATGTCGAAACATGGTAAGTTGCCTGACTGCTTGGACGTTTTCAATATGAATACGAATTATTTTTGCATAAAAGGCATCCCTAGCCTTGTCACAAGAATCTAAAGACCACATCTAATTCGTTTAGCCCACAGTTTCATTGGACGTGAAGTTCGATGCTTTTCTCTTAATTCTAAAAAAATAGCAATCATATGCTTGAGTTGGAGAAGGTTTACTGTGGCCACAAAAATTTCGGTTTAAAAAATATCGACCCTGTTAATGAGCGTTTTTGATTGGAAAATGATAATTTACAAGGAATTTATCACAAGGGATATCAGCGAACTCCCTATTTTCTAAAGACGTTTAAACATACTTCTGAAGAGCTCATTAGCCCTAAATATTGCTCGACCGAATAACTTATTTCTGTTGTATGACGCACGACGATGCATTATTATACAATTCCATTATAGGCAAGTAAAAGAAAATGCCACAATTCTCAGCTTTCGCGCCTTTAGCACATTTGGCACCTGCAGACTATTACATTGTCTTTCAAGTAGGTATCATCTCAGAAAATCATTATTTTAAAAGTACAGTAGGATATGGGATCACAAAATATTGTGTTCACTAAAGCCTTTCTGAAGAATAGAACTTCGCATGACAAAGTCTCGAATTACCGAACTCTCAAGTCGACAATAAATGGTTTTCAAAGCGTGAAGTAATTTGCGACACACAAGCAACACTCAGAGACTCCTTGAAACATCATTTTAATATTTTTGTTGCTTAACTCTTATTAACAAAGCCTGACAGCGAGTGACCTATGGGACCATGAATTCGACCTGTAACAAATCATGCCAAATTTTACTGTATATCCATATTGAGAAATTTAAAACAGACGGACTTTAGTTTGTTATATATAATATTGTGCTTTTAAGAAAACCTAAGGGCATAGAAACTACCAATGAGTACATAAAGCAGTTACCATAAAAATGAACTCAGTCAGAAGAAAATTGTAACAACTTCAAAGGCAGCATCAACCAAAAGGCGATTGTTAGAGAAAATGTTGTCAGAGAAAGAGGAAGGAAGAAAAGATAAATTAAGTCTTTGATCCGCAATAGTTATGTAAAATAGCTTAAGATGCAGATTTTAACCATCCTCATAATGCATTAGCAAGCAACAGCGTAAGCAGTTTCAGTAACAATACCATAGCGACTGTTACCTGATGTTTCACAGAAAGGGCTAACAATAACAATAACTTCTCTTAGTCATCACATTTAAAACATTTGCTCTCCTTCGTACCACTACAGTCAAATAAAATCAAATTTTCATTTGTTTTATCTGTTTACTATTGCATTTACGTTTTTAGACTTAGATTTAATTACTTTTATTAATGCTCTATTGTGAATTTATGCATAAAGTAATGTTATAAATTTTAAATAAACATTCCATATGTATTCCAGAAACAGATTTACCTATTTTACATTAATTCCTAAGAAGAAAAAGATTCGTTTTACGAGTATTTTGCATGACGAACAACCTTCAAGAACGAATTAAATTCAAGAACCTGGTTTCACTATATTGAACACACATGTTTCCAAAGATAAGTTCTAAGAAGGAATCAAGCAGCTATATGAAACTGGCAAGCATTCTATAGACTTAAAAGGAATGCATAGTGAAGGCTAGGAAGAGAAAAAATGGCTTTTTGACACTTTCGCTTTTGTACATAAAACTTTGTAAAACCGCTGCGTATTCTTAAACAAAAGAAACGAAAGCCGACATCTAAGTAAGTCTGTTGATTGCTGTTCCAGATATTTGAATCTGAGTAACTATATTTTCCTGATATATTAAGTCCCAATTTTATAATTGCTTATATCCAGAAATTCAGATAATTTAAATTCTGGATGTTTGAATTCTGGCTAATTTAAATTCGGTATATCTCAATCCAAAATAAAGCGTTTCTGATATCTGCAATCCAAATAACTGGATTTCTAGATATCTGGATAATTTAAATTCATGATTTCATATGGTGGGTGTGCAACTTGGATAAAATGTTCCTGACATTTTGGATTTAGGATAAATGGAGTTTTTGAATATTTAATCCGTTGGACATCTGTAAAGAAGTTCTGAATACTTGGAGTTTATATAATGGAGCTGTAGATATCTGTAGTTGGAAATCCTATTTTGGTACAGAATTCCTGATGTCTCTAACGGTAATTATTGAATTTTTAGTTCCTGACAATTCTATCATTCATTAAAATTTTCAGAAATGTGGCATATTGACGCAACGAGGAATATATATATATATAATATATATATATATATATATAATGTTGTATGAACTTAAATCCATTTAGTGCTAATACAGTTAGTTATTATTACTTGCGCAATTGCTGCAAAGTTAGTTAATAATAATTTATTTCCTAAACAGTATTGATTAATTGATTATATTATCTCCTAAGTTTAATTAAAGTAGAATTATTTTAAAAGTGTGCATCCATACTGGTAAGTTATATTTTGAAAGATGTTTTGAAGTAATTTGAAAGCAAAATGTTAATAATGTTTTAACGGGGACTGGAGTTAAATCATCACGAAGAATAATATTACAATTGTAAAAAGTAAAAATTAAAACATGTAATTATTGTCATTGATCGGAAATTAGTTGACTTTCCAAGGGGAACAAACCAACTCCCGTTCAATGATCAATAATTGATAAAAATACGTAAATATGAAAGTGTTTCGTCTTTACTCGAGTTATAAGTTAAAGCCAAACCGGCAATTCTAGTCAGGCCAAATATTTCCGCGAATAGTTGTTACTCAAAGAACTTATTCTCATGAAGCATTTTAGTCAATTCAATTTGGAGTAAAAATCAATTACTGTAGAGAAATCCTGTAAAACTCGAGTAACCGTCCCCGACACTATCATCTTTATGTATTTGAGTACTATATTATTTGTAGAAATTAAACATTGGAAATTGTCATTATGAAATCGAAATCAAAGTAAAGTTGAAATAAACATAGAAGATTATAAAAAAGATAAATAATGCAAACTTTGTAAAAACAAATCAAAGAGAACATAAAAATAATATAAAAATAATATAAAAATAAAATAGAAAATAATATAAATAAGATCAGTGAATGTACATGAAGATATAAAGGCCAGAAAGGTATTAAGTAACTTACATTCTTTCTAGTGGGGGAGTTGGCAATGTGTTCTCTTCGTGTCTGACTCAGAAGTGTAGGGTGTCCGAAAATTCTTAGCGGCAGTAGGGGCTTTGAATTATATCAGTCGGTAAGACTTGGGTGAAGAAATTTATGGTAGTGGGTGGGACTTGGAATTCTTGAGGGATGTATTTTGTGGAGTTCTTATCTGAGAGAGACCGTCTATTAAGATTTTTTTAAAAATACTAGTGAATGGAAATTAATTAATTTCTGGCTAATTGTCGTGTCGCAATGATTATATATACAAATACAAACGCGGCAATTTTCATATGCTTGCACGAGAAATAAATCTGTAATTCACGTCACATTAAACAATAGCTAGAAACTAAAAACCTCGTCCTTCATTAGTAAACTGAACCATAAAGCTTCGTTAAACTCAAGCAAGGTTAAAATCTGAAGCACGTAGGAAAGCTTTGTTTTCATGGCACTTATCAAAGGTTATTTCCCAAGTTGTGGAACTCATGAAAAACCTAAACGTTATGGTTCAAAAGCATTTAAATATGAACCGGAAGCAAAGAGTGATTAAAAACGTGGTATGCTATATACCTGCAAACATTCAAACTAATACTCTCTTTTGCACTGCTATAAATGTTTCTCGGTGTTCTGCAAGGATATTTCCCCCATTTTTAAATAAAATGTTTTGTTGGTTTCACATTCATTCTCGGACCACCGTGGAAGACACCGGGTGTTAAAGATGGATTATACTGGGAATGTGTCAGAGCAAGTCTATACATGTTTATACATGACAAACATTTAACAAACATTGTTCTCCGTAAAACTTTTCTATCTGAAATTCTTCGCCAAACTCTTAAAGATAGTCCTTTGTTTTACCAATCGAGGTACTTCCTGCATATGTATAACACCCTTTCTAGTAGCTCACTAAAACGTACTTCCTGCTTGCTTATTATTCTGATTAAGAATCAGCCACGACTGACAATATCGAACTTCCATTGCAATGCAAGTAATACGAGAGACGGCCAAAATAATATCATTATCTTTGCATGAGAGATCACTGAGTAAATTATCCTATTATCCTAGCCATCTTTAAATGTCCTGATTTATGAGTTAGGTAAAGATAGTTTCTGTTATGATAAACTTAGAATAGTGTTGCATACCTTCTTTCTATATGGTTCTGTTTCCTAAAATTTTCTAGATGAGATTGAAATACAGCTTGGCAAAAGTCATACTATTGTTCCCTGGTCACAAGTAACTGGTCACTTGCTGGTATCATGATCAGCAAGAAATGACTCACGCATGACCCATGACCGTCCATGGCTCTTCCATTACAAGAACTGAAGTTAAAAACGTTCTCTAGTGAATGTAATACCTTACAGTTTTGCGCGCTCTTTCCTCTGTATATCGTGTCTTTATAACTGGTAAATTTTTATTAATATTTCGGTGTAGTTTTCAAAACGAGATCATTGATATTCTTATTGAGGCTCTTATTGGATTCTGGTGAACCTTCAGATTTCATCTCTTCCAACAGTTCAATTTCATCCTTAATAATATCATCTTCTACCTTCTGTGGTTCTTCCAAATTCGTCGAATCCACTCTCACTTCGGTTATACTATCATCTTTCTCCTCTGCGTGTACACTGGGCGTCCTCTGTTGTTCTTCAGCCTCCTTGATGGGATCCATTCGCGTTGGTAGTGATGTCATCTCGATGGAAGATGTTTTCGTGGCTTCTTGGGCCCTGGCGGGGACAACGTTGTGGCTCTTGTCGTTGTTGTTACTGTAGTAATTATTCATTCCGTAGTCTATTTTGGTCTGCGTGGAGTTGTTGAAGGACTTAATGGATACTTGGCCGTTAGCGACAGCTTTGAGGGCATTGGTCTCTTTGACCTGCAAGGGATGGATTTTCTTTTTGGACTTTTTGAAGCACTTGGTACAGGGGCAACGTATGACCAAGAATCGTAACCCATCTGCGATGCACTCGCAGCACGTCCTACTGATGCAGAATGTGCAGAAAAAAAGCCTTAGAACACAGAAGAGCATTCCGATTCCCACTAAGGAGGGCCCGATCCCGGCCATCGTGGCCTGAATAGCGGGATGCTTGAACTGGCAGTAGAAACTTATAAGTGTCAGTATGGCTCCAAAACAGGCTAAGACTAGGCCAATGATGACCAGGACGTCGGGTCCAAAGTATTCTTGGTGTTCTCGGAAACTCATATTTGCCTCTGGAGCATTCGGATCCCCTGAAAATGAAAGAAGCAGAAATTAGAAAATAATACAATTGTAAGTTTCTTAAACTATAATTAAAGATTTGTTCTTCTTTGTGAAAGTCAGAGAGTTTCTGAGAAACTTTCTGTAAGCACCAACTGCCTTAAAGAGGAAAAGTAATAACAGAGTTCACACTAAAAATAAGCATTTAGCTTCTTTGACTTACTTTGATCAAATTCAGTGCTTTTTCTGATCAAACGTAATGAAACTAGTTAGCAAATTAAGTATGAGTAAGATGATAATTTTACTCATTTAAGTACAAAATACAATGAAATATGTTAAAATGTCTAATGTATTTTACTCGTTATTGTGAAGCAAATGGAAGATATACATATAGTATCCACACCGCTGTAGGTAGAAGTTTGTATGGGAATATTAGCTAGACAAAATTCAGGCTGCCAAAGAAATTTATGACAGTTTATCATTTCTAATAAATATTACTCTTTTCGAATTTCAAAGCAGAATTAGTAGACTTAATATTATACTACAATGAAGAGTATTTAATTCATATACAATCTATTATTCATACACGATAGTGGATAAAAAATAATGGCAACTTGATAGCTCCAGAACGACTTTATTGCTGTGATTACAAACACTTAAAATCCATTACTATAATCGCCTGCCGTGTAAACTACCAGCTGAAAATTTCTATAACTCTATAACCATCACCACATCCACTTCTGAGGTGTTCCCCAACGGCCAACCTAAAGCGCGGAAAACCTCTTTATTATTGCAGTGGATCTCTTGCAATGGTTCTGTCCTTTTGGCGAAAAGATCATAGGTACGTCAACTTATATTCCACCACTATAGAGAATGTTTCCGTACCAACCATCGCCATCGTCTCAGGTGCTCTCCTATTATGACACAGTGCATTGTTATGTATGGGTTATGATCAGATTCGTGACTAAAAGATTGGCTTCACTTTCCCCTGAGTATTGACGCTGGTGATGTGTTAGGCGACGAATCTAATCATCCTTCATAACAATGCCAAGTGTCATAAAACGAGAGCTGTTATAGATCTCTCGCGTCGGCGGCGATGGGAGGTACTGAAATTCAGGATGTTCTTACTCGATATAATTCCGTACGGCTATGAAGAAATTGCTAGGGATCCGTTATAGTAGAGAAGAAGTTATCTATAATTTGAGGCCATCACTGTGCATCATCTACAGAGGTGGATTTCCTGATGCTATATTGACCTTCCCGTAATTTGGCAAAAGGAGTCGAAACGGTAGAAATGCAAATTAATGTTTCCATTATTTTTTCCAATCCTTCTAATTGTTCATTACAATCTACAACCACAAATTATAAGATAATTTTTTAATTACTGCATATGCTTTGCCGTAATATATTAATCCAGTGTCCAATCTAAATCAGACTATTTAGTTTTGAAAAGGTAATCAGTTTCTGAAGACAAAGGTGATAGACAAATTGTGCTTCTAAATGGAAAGGTGAATAGTGAATCTGAAAAACGAAATTGTGGTTTAATGAAATAGAACTTTTTACGACGTGAGCAAAGTATTTTTTTAAGAAAAATAAGCATTATTATAATTCTTCGTTTGATTTATAAGGTCATCCCATATATAATATCGGTTATTCAATTAGATTTTGAAGAAATAACCAGATGGCTAAGAATTTAATCAACTGTATCTTTACATATGGATAAATAACATCCTTCCAACACTATAATAGGTTTCTAATGATATTTTAAACGCATCAGTCGGGTTTTTTTAAAAGGTCTTGAAATTGCGTTTCAATTATCTCATATAAATTGTATTCTCTTACACCTATGGAATTTTTCAAGCTTAAAACCACTAGTCAAAATATAAGTAATTTTCTTCTTGCTCATTGCATCACTTCTTCCTCATCGTGAGTAATTGATATCACCCCCGTCTATAAATAGGAAGATCCAGATTTCGAGAGAATTATGTTGCTTTTTCATGTTTCCCTAATGCATCGATAAATGTCTAATGTCTTTACACCCGCAATTTTAGAAAATATTTTTTCACATGCATGAAGTTCGGATCTTCACACTTTCGCTTAGATTACTGTTAGTAATTTTATGTGTAAACCATTTGCTAAGCTTACACACAATTCCAAGTGCTTTCAAATAATGTTGTACCGTTGGTAAATGAATCTATTCTGCCAACTCTTCAACAATTGCATAGGGATGTCTATCAATTACTACAATCAATCTATCAATTACACATCATTGAGAAAACGGACAATATTCCCAAACCGGCTTGCATCCTTCGAACTGTGGTCAAATTTACAGATCCATCGTGCGGCCCTAGTGATTATATTTTATTTTAATTTTATTAACAGTTTTAATTTTGAGAACTTCTTTCCTATCAAATTTTTAACTTCAACTTACGACTTCCGGCCAGAACATAGTTTTAGAATCACGTATGAATACTTAATGAGGAAGAGCGGTATTTAGCCGCGAAGTTCTACTTGATGAGTGAGAGAGAATCAGAGTTTCTGATTTGCGCGCGTCTGCCTTTTTGGCTGCTCTCTCTAAGCTGTTATTACGCTCGGCCGTGTTCAGGCCCTCGATAGCTTTGTAGACAACTAGAGTTAAGGGGTCAACTCGGTTAGAATCTTGATAGCTCCGGCTATATCTCTTTAGATTAGTTTTAGTTCTTTATATCTTAAGTTCAAAGCCCGAGTGTTCGGCTTTATTGTAAAGCTCCAAGACGGAGTTTTGTTAATTTTTATCTGAATAATAAAGGGTTATTTTACCCTTTGTGCTTGTTGTTTCATCTACACGAACTCAAGCGATTATTCGCTTATCAGTTCTAAAGATTTGTCACTTTATACAGTAACTGAGAAATACACTAGTGAGAATCTTACAACAGGAAAACCAGATTATAACGACTTGGAAAAGAAGGCTCAAACAACACAACACAATTTTTAAGCTGAGTTTGTTGCCCTAAAAGCTGCACTTGCCTATGCATTGGTTAATGAGTATTTCAATATATATATATGTAAAATATAAAATATGAAAGGCAATCATTAACAAAATTACTGACTAAATTCTCATAGGACATTAAATTTCTACTTTCAAATACAACCTCTTTGCCATCTGTATTGACGCCTGCCGTATTTCGCATTGCTAAAGATCTTTCAAAATAATTACACAGGATTAAAACAGTGGAACCAAATTTATAAACACCATTGCAACTAACTAGGCACTCTCTCTTGCCGCCTACAGTTGCTTGCTAAAGGACGTTTTCTTCGATTAGCCGCATTCTTCCATTGTTCTAAAATTTAACTGCGTATATAAAATAGAAGTGCACGTTTAGCACCCCTGTTGTTGTACCATTTAAGAAAAATTGTGTCTCTAAAGAATTTTCCTGTTCAAACATAAAAACGTGATGTTTTAATAATTAAGTTAGTTGTGTTTCGTAAAAATTCCAGTTATCTACGCAGCAGTTTTTCTTGGCTCAGGTCAAAAAGTGAATTGGTGTCTTCTCTGCTAAATTTTTTAATCGTACCCATCTAAGTCATCACATCTTTTAGTCGGCACGACGTCAAGATTGTGCAAGCCTTTCCACATGTGCCACCAGAAAATATTTCCATTTGCAAAAGTTGAAAGATAAAGTCAATCTTTCCTGTGTTCCCAGAAAGTTACTAACGCAAATTGCGGCTAAACTTGGGGCGTTGAAAGATAGTTAATTTCTTCCTATGCTTCCATGACGTCAGCGAATAAGTTGAGTACGTTAACAAGGAAACTAGGCCAAGGTCAGGCCTTAAAACTCTGTTGCCCGAGGTAGCGAAGTGGGTGAAACTCTTCGTTCCAAAATGTGGCGTGAAAATGCTTTTCCAGTTACAGTGGAAGGAGATGTGCGCTTTGCTTTATAAGTTAACATTACCAAATGTTTGTGATTTAAGTGTGTGTCTGCAAGACTTTCATTCCTTCAAAGTGCCGGTATGTTTGCCATTATATTCTTGTAAGTTGAATATCATGCAATGTGATTGTAATCGAATATAAAAAGTGCAAAAGTGATAATCTCTTTACAAAAATCATGTAATGCAAAGTCTAATGTAAAAGTGTGCGGCATCGAAAAGGAAAGAAGTTAAAGCTAACGTCAAGAATTTTGTTCAAAATTATTTTGATTCTGCCGTTTTGAAAAAAATATAAAAATTATCGTTCAAAACATTTTTTTCATGATTTATTGATAATAATATCTTGTTTCTAACAATTTTAAGATAAAGACAGTAATATTAGTATTTCGTGATTTATTTAGTATAATGTTTTAATCTTATTTTTATAACTGAATTTTTATAAAATTATATATGCAAACCCGTTCTCAAAATAGAATGGTCCAACCGAAATCTGAAATTGATGCTGTATCTAAAGATGAGTTTACATCCCCATCATTTGACGCCGCAAAAGACGCGACAAATATTTGACATTTTCTGAAAAACTACATTGTTTAAACCTTACTGAAAAAATCGAATTGGCTTTATTTTCCGATTTCCTTAAAAGTGATCATTTTATATTCTATATTCACAAATCTGTCGAGATATATAGTTCTAAATTTTTAAAAGAGAAATTTCTAACGTATTTTCTACTTCAGAACATATTAAATTTGATGAAATTTGATTATTGTTGTCTCCGTCACTTGCCATTCATTCAAAAACATTGATATGTATTTTAGCCTAAAACGTAAAATCAGGCTCTGAATTGAGTTTAAGTATCAGATTCTTATTGATTTCCTCCCCCAGGGTTTGCCACAGCAAAAACGTATGTTGTTATCAGTTCAAAACATAATTTCATTTCAAAATTGGAATTCCCTAACAAGAAAACTTTTCCCAACTTCAAGCTCATCCGAAGAACTAGAAAGCACCAGTAATGTACTTAGTCTTCTGCTCCTAGGCAAAATGTTCGTCCATATTTTTACTATCCAATATATCCTATTCCCCGACCATTCTACCCTAGTTCTAATTTGTCTCAAAATTCGATCTGGAGAAATGTTCAGCCACCAGCATTTAAATTTCCCAATTCTCAGTATCCCGCCTTAAATTATTATCAGTCTCCATCATATTAAAATCAAACTTCACATAAAAAATGAGAACATTTCAGGTTAAATATGAAGTTAAAGGATAGTATTTTTCTTGCTTTTATTGATGCAGGTAGTCAAGTTAAATGTAATTTCTGAAAATACTTTTAAGTTGTGTTGATAATTCTGAAAGGACTGAAAATGAAACATCATACTTATTGTCATTATATGGAGGTCCTTCTGTCGCTAAATTAATTGCGTTGTCATGAAAAATTGGAAGAAAAGTAGAAATATGTTATTTTACTTGGTATATTCTCGTTTGAATTATATGTTACTCTCTTCATCATGTGTTTCGTTGTTTAAATTGCAGCTGAACTTTACTGATGTGCGTCCGTTTAAAAGAAATATAAGTAAAAATGTATGTCTAAATAGTCTTTTGATAATAATCTCTTATATTTATATGAAAATACTGAAACTGGAAACGATTATGCTATTCATGTTGAAAATAATAAGCTTGAATTGGAAGACAAGTTAATTGTCAGGAGGGCCATCTGGCCTATATGCTAACCGCCCCAGCGAATCGGCTACCCTGCCGTCGGTGGAAAGAAATGAAAAAAAGTCATGAATTACTTTTAAGTTTCACGTTTTAGGCTAGACTCTACATTTGCTTCATTTTGAATGTTTGTCTGTTGACCCATTAAGCTAGCGGAAATTTTGCTCAAGTTAAATTTTCAGTTTGTATAACCATCAGGTCGATGTGTTAACAAATAGTTTCATTTTAAACGTTTACATTAGTTGTGATAAAGCAAGGTCGTTTGATAGACCACTAAAGTTAGTCTAGGTAATTTAAATATTACGGCATACACGAATAAATCTAAGACAGCAAAACCCTTACAGATCTTCGAGAATGGCTAGTTTTGATATAAGTGGGAACTTATGTAAATTTTGTGAGGACACGTTTTACACAAATTAGAACAAATTCTTTGTAAGTGTTAAATCATTACTGCTAATTAAATTTCAACGCTGTACCTAGCACTTGGCAAAATAGATATAAAAAGTCACTTTTAAATTCAGCCTTATCTCATGTACTATTCATACTCACCCACGTGGCAGTCAGAGTTGCTACTGATTGAGTGGTTATAAGGGTACCTTCTTCTGCCGGGAGGGATAAGGTGTCTGCTGCTGGACGTGTAGTGGTTGCCCAAACCCGTCGGCAAGATGGACACCTCCGAAGACGTGTTGAGGCGGGACAACATGATCACAGCCCACATAAGACCGGCAGATGATAGTCGTTGTCAAGTCCTTTTGTCTAACAATACCTCCAAATGGAGATTTTAGGTTTTCGTTGTATGTTTTGAGGAAAATCTGGTCATCCTCCGAAGGAGATGATCGTTTTGATGTGCCTGTGGCATGCTTTTGCTATCGTTTGATATGACAGGAAAACTTATCATTAGTCTGAAGTGCTGGTTGTATTTTGAAGTATTAGGCATAATTACCGTCATTTCTTTCTAAGTGCCAGTCATATTTATTACCATTTCGGAGCGGAAGTCAGATTTATTATCATTATTTTGAAGATCATATTATATTCATTATTATCATTCTTAAGTATCCAACATAATGATTATTATCATCATCTCGATGTACCAGTAGTAATTATAATACTATTTCGAAGTTCCAATCAGGTCATAGTTATACTTATTATCGTTTCGAAAGGTCAGATATATTTATTATTGCTGTTTAAATTCTGGTTATATTTATTTTATGAGTTACGCTTATAATTATCTTTTAGAATTGCCAGTCATGTCTGCTTTTGTTTCGAATTACTAAACATTGTTAGTATCATTTTGAAGTACCACTCACATTTATTATTACACTTTCAAAGCACAGATTGCACCTCCTGCTGTTATTCCAAAATGTTCGTGCCTGGTGTATCATTTCAAAGTGCCAGTGGTATGTATTGTTAAACCTTTTCAAGTTTCTTCAGGTTTTAACAGTATTGATTATTATCAGCTTGGTTTGCCAGTCAGTATTTGTGGATATTTGGTTGATCAAACTCTTCTGAGTATAATAGATTATTTGAAAGTGTTGTTTACTCTTTATACGTTCTTTCTGCTCAGTATCTATGTGTATTACATGAATTCTGTTCAGTGGAGTTGACAAAGATTTCATTTCAGAAGCAGACGCACACATTCCGTTAGAGAATAATCAGCAATCAATAATCTTTGCGGAATTTTGCTTATGTATTCTGTGCAGTATCTGGATCCTTCTCGAATTCTACTTCTTTAATTTCTCCTATGCCAATTCCTGGTGATATTTATTATTAAGTTATTAAGGCCTTCTAATCTCACTAATACTCAAATCTTATTGAAATTCTATCTTTCTGATATGAGTTCTTGCAATCTTTCAAGTTTCCTTCTAATCTTTACTGTTATCGAATGCTTTCTTTCTAATTCTAAAGATTATAGAATTCTGTCCCTCTAATCACTTCTGCATTTACCATCTTGCTGAAATTCTGACCATTTAATCTTTTACTTTTTTTCTTTTGGTGGAATTTTATTCTTCTAATCCCTTCGATATTTTTTATCACGATACATTCTGTTGCCAACAGAAATCTTGGCCTTCTAATTGATCCTATTATTGGATGCTATCTATTATAACTGATAACTGGTTTTCATTCGTCTTTGCTAATCTCTTCGCTATTAAATCTTGTTGGAATTCTAAATTTTGAACTCATGATTTATTGGTCTCGTGATATTGAAGACTTTAATCTGTTTGCCTTATATTCTTTTCCCGACATCTGTCCCTGGTAGAAAAATTTTATCCTTCTTTTAACCCCGATATCTAGCGTTACTGGAATTCACACTTTCTGTTTTGTCAGGTTTGTGGTTCTGGTAGTACTTTATCCTTGCTGTATGCCTGATATTCGGTCTTTTATAAAATTTTACTTCTTTTAGTATGCTTATTTTCAACTCTGGTACAATGTTAACCTTCTGTTAAGTTCTAGATTTGTTCTTTGTGGAATTTTAATTTTCTTGTTTTGCGATTTCTGAATTTGATATGCGTTTCTCTTTTTATTTATCCAGTATCTAGTCTATGGCCTCAAGCTCTCTCATATCTGGTCTTGGAAGAATTATATTTCTCTATTATATACGAAACCCGCAGGAAATTCTGTGCTCGTAGTTTATCAGATATCTGAATTTAATGCACTTCTAGCTTTCTAATCTAACAGAAACTTGGCCTACAGTATTATGTTGCGCTCTCAAATAATCTTGTTATTTCGTACAGTGTTATAGCAGACCTGTTTGACAGACTTCAATCTTGAAAAATGTTTCAATGAATGCTGTACGTTTTAAAATCACCGCTTACTATATCGTTTCTTTGCTTGGTAATGATCATCGCTTAATAGAATATCACATGTTCAGGACGATTCATGCGTCGAAATTAGTACCTTCAGTTATGGATCCTGCCAAACGTGGAATCACCAGAATGTATATTATCACTAAGAAGTGCTATCTACCTTTCAAAAACATCCAAAAGAAGTCTTTGAAATCCTCAAGAAGTCATATTTTGCTAAAAGTTTTAATATTCCAACTTGACAAAAGGAAGAAATTCTTTGACGAGGAGGTGGGAGCACAGAACCTGTAATTAAAATGAAATTTAAAATCAGCATTTATATACTCAATGCATTAATCAAATTAAGCATTGCATTATGAATTTTTGTAAGGTTAGAAACGTTCTCAGGAGATTTCTTCGTCATTACGTTATGTAACATTGTGTCATGTTGTGCAGTGATTAGAGATTTTTGAAGATGGCAATGTGAACAACGAACTACGCCGTTACCAGGATTCGAATGGATATATGGATCTTCCGATTGCTATCCTGACGTGCTATCAATTAGACTATCAGAGCATACAAAAGAGGACACGATAATTCCTTACAGTGTTGTGGCTTTTATCGTTTAAGTTTTACGAACAATTAGTTTTATATTAATTTCTTTATGCCTTGGCTGGTCACGTTACTCGCGCAAACTAGAAATTCATGAAAACTTAAGGCAAGCAGAGTAGATTAAAAGCTCGGTAGAAATCGTGCGTTGCATTACCACTTACTGTAGAAAAATCCGCTAACAGAGCGTGAGGTTAGACGGCTGAATGTTAGCTGAGTTGGATATTAAAAATTTTAAGAAAAATAACATGCTGAAGAACAAATGTCAAAAGTATTATAGCAACAAGAATCAAAGCAAGTTGTTCAAATTTTCAGGACGATAGTTTCGATTATTAGATAAAACGTTTTTCTTTAGTTGCAAGAATGAAAATGCGGAGGGAGAAGCATCTGCATGCTCGTTAACAATAAATAAATATTCGAGAAAATTCCAGCCAAAGTATAGGGAACAAAACCATGGGAACCATCACTTGACAGAAAGCGAAAGTAACTACGAAATAACTCCTTTAAAAGCTGAAGGTAAAAATGTATTAGAAGTGGAATCATTACTAGAACTGAATGACTTTTATGAATACGAAATGCTTTTAGGAAGTTTGATTGGCCAAAAGATTTTTTTAAATAATTTTGGCTCCAGAAATATGAAAACTTTTGACCGGCAATATTGCAAAATGGGAGATTTAAATTTCCTTTTTTAATATATATGCTTTTTAAATATATATGCATACATATTTCATGCTCCTTTGTGCTACGCGAAATTTCAAGCCTCAATTTAATTTTAATTAATGCATATTAGATCCCGTTATAATGTCGTAACTTGTGTAATAATTAACTAATTTAAATGTTCTTCAGGCACTATAGACTGCCAAAAGAGTCATCGCTCCGTCTAACGTAAATAAAAAGAGGCTTATGGAGATTACACTGTCACAATTTAAAATTTTTATTAATGTTTTAACTGAAAAGGAGGCACAACTTGTGCGTACAATTCAAATCCGCCATCTTTTAAATAACATAAAAACGAAAATACTATCTAAAATGTACTCGTAGCTCTGAACTGCACAACTCATGCTTAACTAAGCTTTGGTTCGAAGCTTGTAATGGCACGATTTAGCTTTGGTTAGCAAAATGGCTAATACCGAAATATTAGCGTTGGACGAATGTAATTACAAACTGCGACTATCGCTGCCAAACATTCGATTCAAACATTCAAAACATTTGCCTTAAGTAATCCTAATTCGTTCCCGTTCTGTTGAGGACAAACGAAAAGAAGAAGTTATGTTAAAATCCAAGTCATATAAAGGTATTCATTTACATAAAATATCTTAAATAACATAAGCATATTCCTCCTAAGGGTTTTTACTTCTGCAGATAAAGAAGTAGATAATATTTTTAACCTTTGAAACCACAGTTCGGTAAATTTACGTTGACTTTTCTTGCTGAAAGCTTGATTCTTTAACAGAAATTAGAAAGCTGTTTTTGCGTCCCACACAAACGGCGTTGTAAATCTGAATCGGCATTTGTTATATAATCACATCGTAACTGTAACGTAGCAGTCAACAGCTGTAACTGATGGTCGACGAGAAGTTGCTTTATTTATTTTTGTCACAACTTTAAATTGTACTACCGAAAGTTGTGGGTAATAAAATTTGAGCTAGATTTTACCTTGAGTTTTATCTTGTGTATTCACAAGTAAGCATCAGCTGAGGAGATAACTTGTCAAGCATTATTAGAGTTAACTGATAATCGTTAGGTTCGATAAAAAGCAGTTCTTAGTTTAACTCCTTAGAAGTTGTAACGTTACCATGCATTTAGAATGCACGATCTCTTACACAACGATGAGCAAGTATTTGACCCCTTGGACCATAATTTCGTTGATCACCTGCGAGCAACTGAGCTGGTGGGCAATGATGGTCTTCAGTTTAATTTATATTTTAATAATTTATCCAGATGTTTTCATTTGCCTCACAAAGCGACCATGAGCCGCTAGGTCTCAATGCCGAAGTGTCTTGCATTAGTCACCGATGAATTGAGGTTAAATAATTTATCTAAATTTATTGACTTGCCTTACACTGTGACCGTGAACCAGTAAATTACTGGGGATCAAACGGCCTTGATTAGTCGCCGGTGGGAGAATTATAGTTTATTTTAACAGTCTATTTAAATGTTCTGTATCACAGCACGCTCTTTGCGTCAATTTGTGGGCCATAAGTTACCATATCCGTTAACGTTTATATATTCATTAATTTTTATTTAAATAATCTATCTTGTTAGAAAGTACCGTATTTCCCCCTGCGTGGTGTCATAGTGTAAATGGTTAGCATATCCATATTGCAATTGAAGCTTCCGTGGTTCTAATCCCTGCGAGAACACAACTGATTATTATATCTCCTAAATAGAAATACTTGATGGCTGACGGTAGTATTTATCTGACGCCCAGGTACAGTGGTTAGCGACGTAAACCGCTGATTTGGCTCCCGATTCAGGCATATTTATTATATTTGTGCGGGATTGCCAACTCATCAGATGTCAACCATTATCTACCAAGCCACAGCCTTGAGGCTAGTTCAACAAATCAGGTGGTATTTATTAAATCAAGTAAACACAACTTAAACCATATACATATATTAAAGCCTAAACAAGACGTAAATGACACCATGAAATGTACGAATACTAAATATAAATACAAAAGGATGTGCAGAACAATACGCAGAATATACTTAGGTTACCATGTAATGCAAATACTAAATAGGCATATATAATATCCAGAATATATAAATACACAAACACTGTTGCTACTAATTACAAATACAAATACAGAAAAAAGAATTCAACTTTATTTTCGTACACTAGGCATAATGCAAAGGCTACCTTATAATACAAATGCTACATAAGCATACATAATATTCAAGGTAAATAAATACATACGCATTGTTATTACTAATTACAAATAAAAATGCTAAATTCAAATACAGAAAAAGAAATTCATCTCCATGTTTTTTCGTATCTAGCCATATTTTTCAGCAAATTCATCTATTAGAGTTTTCAACTTCTGCCGAGCAACCCTTTTATGTTTCAGTTTCTGAAACCATTGTGTCCATAAGCTTGTGCTTGGTTGAAAAGGAACCTCATGTTAGAAAGCTAAACCCTCAAGAGAACGCATAGTGGTCTGGATTACCCCCCTTCTCACACTCGCAGTTTCTGTCTTCTCTGAAGCCAAAGCGTTTGAGATAATCAGGAAAAAGCCCATGTCCGGGATAAATTGTGACAGAAAATTGTTCATTGAATGCGGTTCCAGTGACAGTTTGGAAAGAAACTTATAGACCCGACGCCCTGACTTGGTCTGGCCCCATTGCCTTTACCATTTAAAGACTAATTTTTGAAAAGTCTCCCTCTTCAGAAATGTGATAGGATTTAATGTTGAAACTTCTGTTAGTGAGCTGGAGTTCGCCGTTTCTCTGGCAGCGGTGTTCACTTACCCATTGCCTGTAATCACTGGGTGAGTAAGAATCGATCTAAGAATGGGTCTTCGTGAGCTTGGCATTCATAACAGAATGCCTCGAATGCTCTATACTATTGGATTCCTTGAACTTGTTGGATTCCTGCGATTATTGCTGCTACGTTCAAGACAGAATCGGTGTAAATGTGCTTGGACACGTTAGTATGTTTTCTCATGCATAATAGTGCAACTCTAATGGCAGTTAAATCACTTGAGAAATGAAGTTTTCAAACCTAATTTTCTTCTCTATGCATGTGTCACGTCACCATCTACGTGAGAGCAAAATGCGCTTCCAATTCCTTCTGGTCTTTTAGAGCCACCAGTGCTGACACCTTCTAATCCACTTATTTGCAGTGCAGAGGTGAATAGTCTCGGCAAGCTTGTTTTAGCTGGATAGCTAAGGATATGAGGTTTATGCTGCTCATAAACTGTATGAACATAGACTTTCCCCTAAAGACTCTTCGTTCGTCGCAAGCGGGAAACATTTACTATAGCCACTTTTTTTTCAACTAATCAATCTAGTGGAGGCAAGCCTTCCATAATTTGCAAGGCTTCTTTTCGAAGTAGTAGGATATGCCCTGCATATAGATCATAAGAAGCTGTTGTCTCTGTAATGCGTGTAATTCCTTTAGTCATGTGGGCTGTGAGAGTATTACCCCGGATTTTTTCTGCATATAAAACTATTAGCTCCGCTACTACCTTGCACCATAGGCTCAGTGGGTTTCTCGGAATTCTTCATCTCACTGAATTTTTGAATCACATGCTACTGATAAGGGTATTAATCCTCAGCTTCAGTGAGGAGATATGAGGCTGCCAAGAAAGTTTGTTATCCAGAACTACTCCTATGCACTTGAGTTTCTTGACTCATTTAACTAAATAGTCCAGGAGGAGACATGGATTCCTGCGCAGCGGAGGTTCACGACCTATATGTGTCTGTGTCTTGGGGACCGAACGCTGTAGCTTTTATGCACTTGTCCATTTAGCAAATACTCAAAGGCACTCTTGCCTTCGTCTTTTCAGGTTGCTACGCCTGCCACAGTGAGTATAAAATCACCTGTGTAGGTAATGAACGTAATTCCCTCTTTGTTATTGAACAGGCCAAAGAGAGTGTTGGTCACGATGTTCCAGAGGATCGATCCGAGACAGGATCCCTAAAGACACCTTGTGTTGAGTTTCTTCAGAAATTTTCCTCTTCCCAGGG